TGGATTGATAGATGAGCAAGTAAAAGGTACAGAAATAAAACCAAAGTTAAAACTCTGCAATTCTAAATTTTTGGCAGTGGAAATAACAGTATGATTTTATGGTGCCTATTTTTAAGAATACATTTCTTGCTACAACATGAATGAACATTGCAAACCTACCAAGTGAAAAAGAAGCCAGTCCAGAAAGGTCATACGTTGTTAAAATTTCATTTGTATGAAACATGTAGAATAGCCAAATGTAGAGATAGAAAGCAGGCAGTTGATTACAATGTTGCATTTAGTAGGGACAAAAATGCTCTAAAATTATAGTCAAATTTCCACAAGTGTGTGTGTATAGTTTACTTCAAAACTGAACTGCACATCAGATGTGGTGGGATATACGTGTAATCCCAGCACTCTGAGAAGTAAGAGGATCAAAAATTCCACCCAGACTGGGAAATACACTGATTTAGCAAGACACTTTCTCAAAAAAGAAAAAGAAAAAAAAGGGCTGGGTATGCAGCTCAGTGCAAAGATTCTGGGTTCAATCCCAGGTACCACCAAAAGATTAATTTTATACTTTAAATGGGTAAAATTTATGGCAGATGAATTAGATCTTAAACTGTTAAAATTAAGAAAACAGTCACTAGCTCTGTGCATACACATACGTAGACCCTCCTAGAAGTAATGCTAATAGTAATAAATACTATAAATGGGGTCTTAAAATAATATTTCCCACTAAAAGGAATCAGTACTCCATACAGAAACACTAATTTCATGGGTATGGAAGGAAATGGTTATCATGATTCTGGGAAATTCTATTATAACATTAGTTCATTTATAATAGCTCTTTTAACTACTTAAGTGTTAAAAGACTTAGAAGCCATCTTGAAGCCTTGGTCAACATGAGGAACTTGAGCTTCAAAAAAGAAAATAAGTGTAACAATTTCAAGCATATCAAGTATATTAAAATTGATGGGATTTATAATGGTAACACAATAATAACGCATTAAGAGATACTATGGAAATAACTCAATAGCCCAAAACCCTATAAAGGAAAATAATTCATTTATTCTGCCTTTCCTATACAAACCATACCTAACAAGGAACGACACTTTAAATATCATTATTTTGTAACCCTTCCTAAAATGATGGACCTAGCTAAGACTCTTCTGTTTTCTAAAACAAGTATAATAGTAGGAAGGATCGTTCTATATTAAAAACAATGGCAAAAATGTCCTTCTATTTCTCTATCTTACTTCCTCTAATGTCATACAACCCAACAATCCTACAACCACAGCATCTTCCACTATCCTTCCCCCTCACTTGCTCCAGTTGAGCCATACTAACCTCTTCACTGTAACAGACATGCTGCTTCTTCAAAAGGTTTATAAATGTTGTTCTCTCTGCATGAAATAATCTTTCCTTAATTGTGTACATAGCTGGTTCCTTTACTTTCACCATACCTTTGTTATTACCTTTTAAAGATACTTCCCTAGGTACCTTACCTAAAATTATAACTGCTACCTGTAATTATAAATATCCTCCCACTTTTTCTATTCATATTTTTCACCACTAACATATTTCATCTCATTTATTTCATACTTAATTTGCTTACTTTGCTTAATTTCTTAACCAGAACTATCTAAGTACCACGATAGCAGGGGGGTTGTCTCTTTCGTTTATCGCTAAATCCCAAGCATCTAGAATCATGCCTCGCATTCAATAAATGGCGAGTCTATGAATGAATAGATCCTCAATATAATTCTGGAAAATGAATTTGAAAATAGAACACTATTTTGAAAATATGTCATTGACAATTGATTTTTTTTT